GTTTGCCGCAGACTTCTGTTTGTCCACTCGGTCGTCCAGCCGTTGGCATCCTTCCCGGCCCGAGGGTCACCGAGGCTGGAGAGGTTTTTCGTTTCCTACGGCTCGCCCGTGTCCCGGGGCCTCCTCGGGCACACGTGGAGCCAGTAACGCCGAGATCAAAGACACGCCGCCGCGTATTTATATTCACGCTCGTGACATTTGTGACTTTCCATAATGTCCCAATAATAAACATTATGTAGATATATTTTGTACATAACAACGCTTGAATTAAATGCCATGAATGTAACAAAACACTAGAACCAGATTTAAGCGTATTGCTAATGAAAAACTTAAATATTTATTTGAAAAAAAAAGCACCATAACTCCGTAACTTCATAAATGAACCAAAGTGTTTGGGTCAGATTTCTTGTTGTTGTTGCCTTTCTCTCTTAAAAGCTCCAAACCTGTTAAAGACTGATGACACTTAAAGTTTAAGGCATTTATTCCCCAAAATTCTGAACTTATTAATCATAGTTTATTTATTTATAGTCTCTCCATTGGGCTTTTGGATTTCCTCTTGACGTAAAGATTTAATTCAGCTAAATAACCAATTTTAATGGCCTGTAGTTTCTTTGGAGATATCAGCAGGAGGGAACATTAAATACTTAACATTAATTCAAATCAGTTCCATCTTATATTCCTTAAACCATCCCATGGATCTGCCAAACGGCTCCAGTTACACAACTGAAATATTCTACAACTATTAAACTATAATCAGTCTGCTCTGGATTAAATATCATTAAACATTTAAACTGGTAAAGGAAATGGTTCTTGGATGAGATGATGTATTCATTTCTTTTGGACTCAAATTTGAAACAAAGTTAAGTTCGACAAATATTTGACTTGTTTTATCCAATCTGTTGGTCCCAAAATGAAATGCATAGAAATACATCTCTCAGTGATCGGTAAGAAAACAAGAACACTGCTGCTGTATTTAACACAAAAAACAGATTTAGAAAGTTCATTCTAAAATCTTGTTTTAGGAATAGGAGGTCTGTTTATATGCTTACACACCAATAACCACCATTTTTGAGGTCTTTTTTTTTTTTTACAGAATAAGGGAAATAAGCTGTTTCTGTTTGATGAGTAAGAATGAAATAGGAAACACTTATTTGTGTGAAATCCAAAACCGGGAACTCAATGCAACCTGTAAAGGGCCGGCAGCTTTCTGCTTTCTGCTTTCAGCCCCGGGCCTAACAAACATCGGCATCATATAGAGAGTGTATTATTAGAACCAGACCCCTGCTGTCAGTGTGTGTACTTAACAAATGTGTGCCCGGGCCTCCGCGTTTCTTGGGGCTGAAATCGGAAGCTGGGAGGGGGCCTCGTGAATCAGAACTGAGCTGACGCCGCACACACACACACACACACACACACACACACACACACACACAGACACACACACACACAGGCTGGGTGATCTACAGTATGCGGAGAGCTGCGGGTGATTTACTGCAGATGAGCGGAGCTGGCAGCGGCTTTGATGAACGAGGGAGCCTACGGTAGAAAGATGAAAAGGTTTAAAGAAACCCGGCAGAGCCGCCCTGAGTGTTGTGCATCTCACTGCTTTGTTATCTAAGCCGACGTGAGAGAAAATCTCTGAGGAGAAAGCTGCGATTCTCCTCACACAGAGTGAGCTGGATCACAGAGAAATGACACCTCTTTTTGGTCTTTTTTCTCCTTCACAGGGAGAAAAGGCGGCAGCGCTCAAGAAGGTAAAGATGGAGAATTCCTCCGGGGACAGAGACTGAGATGGCCCAGGGTGTCATTGTGTGTTGTGTTTTCCTCTTGTGTCCCTTCAGAAAAGCTGCCCCCGTATGAGCCAAACATCCCCGAACCGACCACCAGGGCTGACTTCATGAAATGTAAGGCTGTGTGAGGCTCTTTAGCAGCGTATTAGTCATTTAACTGTCATTTAACCCCGACACAAGCCCACAAATCTGAACTGAGACAAGCAGGTTGGCTGTTCAAAGTCTAAAAAAAATGAGAAAATGAGCATTAAGATTGTTGAGGAATAAAACATTGTGAGAAAACACTTACAAATACTAAAAAATGTGCAAATTAAAATGAGTTTTTTTAACACATTCAGTCAAAATTAACATACTTTTTCTTAAATGAGCAATTGCCCGTGCCTGCATAAATTCTAATATCTGTCATGTAATAATATTTAGACTACAGCAAATGTGTTTCCTAAAGAGCAGTTAACCAGAAATTTAGTGTTATTTTTGGATGTATTTTTTATTTCATTTCCTCTTTTTCCACGTCCCACGCTGTAGAGAGACTTGTCCATGCCAAACTCTTATCCTCCTCGTATCTCTTAAAGCTGCTGTGATATATTATCACCGTTATGATGAATGACAAGGCACAGCAGAATCACAAAAAGTAGAAAGAGGATGAGGACGATCATAAGTTAGTTTTTCACCGGGACGATTCCCCGTGCAGATGCAGAGTTCAGACACCTGTTTTCCTTCTTTTCAACCTCAGCTGCTTCAATCCCCCGATATCCTCTCAATCCCCAAGCATCCTGGGAATAACACCGGATACCTTTACCCACGTCTAATAAAGCGGCTCTGTAACATCGCTCCACACGCACACTGATGTCATCCTGTGACAACTCAACCTCAAAGAGATTTCAAATTCCTTTGAGCAGAGGCGTTTTCCGCCACACTGTCGAATCATCTCAGTCTGCCAGTGACAAAACAAGTCCTGTGTTATATTCATTTGGACCCTCGTGCAAAGCAACAGTCTCAGAATTAAAAAAGCCCCGACGGGTTAAATGTCATTTAAGCTCAAATTCATTTCAGATGCTTCCAAACTTTAAATGTAGCTGTTAATAAAGAGCTCAGTTTGAAAAAATCAGGACTATATTGCTAATGTTAAGGCTTTTGAAGCAGAGGTTCATTCTAAATTCTTAGGTGTTATTTTTTCCTGTTTTCAGACTGGTTCCCCCTCTCTCTGGATGATAAAACGGCTCAGAAGCTGTTGTGGATTTCGGAGGGCAGCTCCAAGGCCGCCCGGACGTCTGACGCCGTCTGCCCGTATCCCAACCGGCCCGAGAGATACGAGCACTCCCCACAGGTAGGCCCGGGCCGACCCCCCCCGAAAGCTCAAAATCCTATTGTACACAATCAGATACACCTGATAACAGGGGGCAGAAGACTACAAAAAAAATTATCTTGACTTATCGCATAGTAATAAATTATTAATATAAAAAATGTATTTCAGTTTTTTCTTTTTACATATACATATACGGGTCAAATAGGGAATTCAAACAAAAAAATGTAATTTTATGTTTTGTTTTTTTCTTGGATCAGGCTTTAAAGGGTTAAATGTAAAAAAAAACAAAAAACAAGTCTCATAGTTCTGTCACATTACGTAGCAGATAGAGACACAGCGTGACACAGCCGTTATCAGCTCCTTTTCACATACATTAATTCTTAAATCGGCATATTTCTCTACCACCCTCCCATCGTACGGTTTCTGTTTTTAAATGCATCATCACTTCTCAAAAAACTGCATTGAAAATGAAAAAAAAAGAAAAGAAAAAAAGAAAAAAAAGAAAAAAGAAAAAAAAAGAAAAACAAGAAAAAAAAAAGAAAAAAAAACCCAAAAACTGCATTGCGTCGCAAAACCAATCGATCTTCACAATGCACTGAACGAAAAACACAAAGTGTTAAAGAGGGAAAAGAAAATGACATTTCAGGGGCTGGTGGTCATTTGTCTGAGGCTGCCTCTCTCCTCTCAGGTGCTGAGTAAGGAGGCCCTGCTGGGCTTCCGGGGCTACTGGGAGGTGGACTTCGACGGCTGGGTGGTGATCGGGGTGGTCCTGGAGAGCTCCCCCCGGAAGGGCCAGGAGGTGCCCTGCGGCCTGGGGGAGAACGGCAGCTCCTGGGGGGCCGGCTGGTCGGGCTCCTGCTACCAGGTGTGGCACAACAGCGAGCACGTGGAGGTCCAGCTGCCCCTGACCTCCACCATGGGCGTCTACGTGGACCAGCCCGCCGGCGTCATCACGTTCCTCCTGGTGGAGGGCGAGGCCCAGAAGGAGGTGCGGCTGATCCACAAATTCAAGGCCAGCCTGGAGGAAAAAGTCTTCCCCGCCTTCTGGATCGGCGCAAATTCCTTCTGCCTCATTCGTAAAAACGACCAGTGACCGGGGGAGGAGGGTCAGCCCACAGAGGGGTGAAAAGAGGGGAACAAGTGAGCCTGTTGTGTAGATTCTGTCTGCTTTCTGTGAACGCCTACCAGAAGCTTAGGGACTGTTTCGCCGAGGGTGTTCAGAAATGGAAACTTCCGGCAGAAATCGGGCCGATCTTTGTGTCTTTTACTGTAAGCAGAAAGTGATTTTAGCATGTTTTTTATGTGCTAAATTATGTCAATAAATTCTGTGTCGTTACACCGTTTGGTTTCCTGAAGGACGATGCTGCCCTCTAGGGGCCTTGTGTTAACACAAACACACACACACACACAGACACACACAAGTCCTGTTGGTGTTGCTTCTTTATTGAAAACATAAAAGTACATAACGGAACATTTCTTTATTTCTGTCAGAGATGGATGCGTTACCTCTCAGATCAACTCCATCTCTCTTTGTCTATCTCTCTTTGTCTTTCTCTCTCTCTCTATCTCTCTCTTCCTCACACACACACACACACACACACACACGGTCTCTTTCCCATTCACCCGTTCAATCGTTTCAACAACAGAGCAAGAGAAAAGAAAGAAAAGAAAAATACCATCCCCTAAAACTCATTATTGAAGTACAATCATTCTATCAGTCAGTCATTCGTTGGCAAAATTAAAAGCAGGCATGTAATGAGGAGGTGCTGGTGTCTGCTCACATTTCCAAAAAGCTTCGCGTTAAATCAACCGTTGCTCATTTCTCTGGTTTTGCCGCCTGCATACGAAAGAAACGCACCCGTCAGGGTGGGGTTTAAAGGGTGGGGGTGGGGGGGCCGCGGGCCTGTTGGTCATCTCACCCAACAGCTCAAACTGACCTCACAGGCTCTGGGACGCGTAATGTGGGACTCCGCCTGCTACTTTTGAAACATTTGAACAGTTCAGGGACGTTTCTTTGTTTGTTTTTGTTGTTTTTCTCCGACAGACTGGAGGAAAAAGGCGGCCGCGGCCTGGAGTTTTAGCACAAAGGGCTCTGAACCTGAGCGACTGGTTTAGAAAAATAGCTTACTTTGATGTAGAAATGCTCTCCGGTCTGAGGACACTGGGATCCAAGCCCTACACTCGTCGGACGAAGGTAACGCGGGTCGGGGACGTTTGCACGGAGGCCGGTGGCGAGTTTCGCATGAGCTTTATGAACGGTGTAGAGCAGGCCCCGCCCACTGCTGGTTTTCAGGGGTTTTTAAGCTGGAAAGCTGGATGAAACGAAGAGAAACGGCCACCATTTCCTCCATTAGCAACCTGTGCTCCGGCTGGTCCCAGGCAGCCCGTTTAACCCGCCGGGATCGCTCTTTAATGATCGTCTATTCACACTAAGTGCTGAACAGCAGCGCTGTGGGAACATCTGGATGCACAACGGAGCAAACAGAGGCCAGTTGTTGCAACAGCAAAAAAAAAGAAAAAACAACCCTCGTGCGACAGGTCTCAAACGGTGGAACTAAAAGCGAGAACCACAAAATCCTAATCGATGAGCTTTTAGGGTAACGACGCGTGTTTTTAAGCGATCGACAAACGCTTTGCTTTGCACTTATTGAATCTGTGAGGGCGGCACTGGACTTTTTGAGAAGGAAAAAAAACAAAAAAAAACTGAATTTTTACCGACCGTCCACCGCTATTAGCCTCAGATGTTGTAGCGTTTAGCTTCAGACTGATGAAAGATGAATCATGGTGATATTTTTCCTAAAGATCCACCGGCCTCACGGTTAATCTGACCCAAAACGGCCCCCTCTGGATCCCTACAGAGCCCCCCCGCACACACACACACAGCCCCAGTGTCGCCTAGCAGCAGCTATCGGTGTGAGATGTTTTATGACCAGGGGGAGTGGGGGTGGGGGGGGGGGCAGTAGTGTTGAAAGCATCATTAGTGTTGACAACATTTCCTCACGACAGTTACTCCCGAAAGCATGTGCCAGTTAATTTTGGGGGTTAGTGAAAGATAAATGGAGGTACGAGCCTTCACACCGTTTCACGTTTTAGCCAGAACCTCCAGCTCCACCTCTCCCTGACCCTCTCTCTCCGTCTATCCCTTTCTCCTCTTCCTCTCGTGGCGTCCTCCTCCTCTTCTTCCTCCTCCGCCCGCCCGCTCCCAGACCTCAGTGCTTGAGGGAGAAGTCCCCCGTGTTGAGGCGGGGCCGGGGCAGGGCGCCGAACATCTCGGTGCCGTCGGTGGCCCCGGGGGCCAGTAGGGCCTTCATGCTGGCCGCGATGTGCTCCAGGTCAGC